TCCAAAAATCGTTGTCTCTTAATGCCGGCTGACACGTAATCCTCTTTGCAAGTCTGACGCTTGTACTTACATCCGCACGTTAAGTTCCTATCAAGTCCACTGTTGTTGTACTTCCAGCCTTGCTCTCTGGATTATTCTGGTCCTCATGGCCCAGAGATGGAGGGGCTCTTGTGTTGCAAATCCGTCGGTGTCTCAGGTATGAATGGATTACCAGGTCATTGGCTGAGCCAGGTATGTGCATCTCTTGCATTAAGTAGGATCTCGTATTATTCCTCTAGGGAATATGATATTAATGCTAGTTTCAGTGGCTTTTCAGTATGACCAGTGGTGGTGGTGTACTCGCCTATTTGTGCTTGCGGGGGTTGAGCTTTGGCTCTTTGGTCCCGCCTCTCAACTGTCAATCAACTGGTGTACAGATTCCTGAGCCTACTGGGCTCTATCATATCTAAATTTAAAACTGTGTATGGAGTCAGCCTCCACCACATCACTGCCTAATGCATTCCATCCGTTAACTACTCTGACACTGAAAAAGTTCCTTCTAACGACTCTGTGGCTCATGTGGGTACTCAGTTTCCACCTGTGTCCCCTTGTTCGCCTCCCACCAGTGATGAATAGTTTATCCTTGTTTACCCGGTCGATTCCTCTGAGGATTTTGTAGGTTGTGATCATGTCTCCCCTTACTCTTCTGTCTTCCAGTGTCGTAAGGTGCATTTCTCGCAGCCTTTCCTCGTAACTCATGCCTCTTAGTTCTGGGACTAGTCTATTGGCATACCTTTGGACTTTTTCCAGCTTCGTCTTGTGCTTGACAAGGTACGGGCTCCATGCTGGGGCCGCATACTCCAGGATTGGTCTTACATATGTGGTGTACAAGATTCTGAATGATTCCTTACACAGGTTCCTGAACGCTGTTCTGATGTTAGCCAGAGCTCGCATATGCCACAGACGTTATTCTTTTTATGTGGGCTCCAGGAGACAGGTTTGGTGTGATATCAACTCCTAGATCTTTCTCTCTGTTCGTTTCATTAAGTACTTCACCTCCTATTCTGTATCCTGTGTCTGGTCTCCTATTTCCACTGCCAGGTTTCATTACTTTGCATTTACTCGGGTTGAACTTCAGCAGCCATTTGTTGGACCATTCACTCAGTCTGTCTAGGTCATCTTGTAGCCTCCTACTATCGTCTTCAGTTTCAATCCTCCTCATAATTTTTGGATCATTGGAAAACATTGAGAGAAACGATGCTATACCCTCTGGAAGATCATTTACATATATCAGAAACAGTATAGGTCCAAGGACTGACCCCTGCGGGACTCCACTCGTAACGTCTCGCCAATCTGAGACCTCACCTCTCACACTGACTCGTTGTCTCCTGTTGCTTAGGTACTTCTGTATCCAGCGGAGTACCTTCCCTTTCACTCCAGCCTGCATCTCCAGCTTTTTTACTAGCCTCTTGTGTGGCACTGTATCAAAGGCTTTCTGACAATTCAAAAATATGCAGTCTGCCCACCCTTCTCTTTCTTGCCTTATTTTTGTTGCCTGGTCGTAGAATTCAAGTAACCCTGTGAGGCAGGACCTGCCATCCCTAAATCCATGTTGATGCTGTGTTACAAAGTTCTTTCGCTCCAGGTGCTCCACTAGCTTTCTTCGCACAATCTTCTCCATCAGCTTGCACGGTATGCAGGTTAGGGACACTGGCTTGTAATTCAGTGCCTCCTGTCTATCCCCTTTCTTGTATATCGGGACTACGTTAGCTGCTTTCCCTCATCCCAACCGGCACACGGTTGGGATGAGGGAAAGCAGCTTTCCAAATTTCTGGCAGTTCCCCTGTTGCCAGTGATTTGTTATACACTATGGAGAGTGGGAGGCACAGTTCTTCTGCTCCTTCCTTTAGTATCCAAGGGAAGATTCCATCTGGGCCTATAGCCTTTGTCACATCCATCTCTAGTAAACACTTCCTTACTTCCCCGCTGGTAATCTCAAACTCTTCCAGTGGTTCCTGGTTAGCTATTCCCTCTCTTATCTCTGGGATTTCTCCTTGCTCTAAGGTGAAAACCTCTTGGAATTTCTTATTCAGTTCCTCACACACTTGTCGTTTGTAGTGAATCCTTCTGCCCCTATCCTTAATTTCATAACCTGTTCCTTTACTGTTGTTTTTCTCCTGATGTGGCTATACAGCAATTTAGGCTGAGTCTTTGCCTTGCTTGCGATGTCATTTTCGTATTGTCTTTCTGTCTGTCTTCTCATCCTGACATATTCATTCCTGGCATTCTGGTATCTTTCTCTGCTCTCCAGTGTCCTTTTATTCCTATAGTTTCTCCATGCCCTTTTACTTTGTTGCTTAGCTAGCCTAAATCTCTGTTTAAACCATGGGTTTCTCATCTTCATTTCACTGTTTTCCTTTTGGGCTGGGACCCATCAGGTGTTGCCTGATGCGGCTGCGGGTGTGAGCCTTTGACAGCCTCTGATCTCTGTCTGTTTCTATCTCCATCTCTGAATGTCTCAGTGTATTCACTTTGGACGATTCAGCGACGGCTTCACTTTCTACAAAGTCTGTATTCGACCCTAAATTGGACCCCTCGTATATTAGGTCCGAAAACTAGTTTTGGTTTTGTGTACATCTTGCAGCACTTTTATATAGCTGCGCAGTTTAGGGGTTAAACAAAACCGATTTGTGTGTGTGTGTGTGTGTGTGTGTGTGTTTTAATCATATGACCCCCCTGGATCCTATCCCCTTGGTACCCCCTCCCCCCCCATCTCAGATAATGTATTATCTAGAAACATTGAAACATCTGTGTGTGTCTCTGAAAATATATTATTATGGCCAATAAAAACACTATGCGAAATACGTCATATATTTCACTCTTGGCTCAATTGAGTTCTGAAATAATTTAATGTTTGGGACATACAAAATTTGTCAAAAGTATACATACATATATGTAGTTGACTTTAGTCTTATGGTAGAGTATCGCTGTTAGAGTATACCTGGGTGCCCAAGCCACGGTGTAGCTGGGGTGCCCAAGCCGCGGTATACCTGGGTGCCCAAGCCGCGGTATACCTGGGTGCCCAAGCCGCGGTATACCTGGGTGCACAAGCCGCGGTATACCTGGGAGCCCAAGCCGCGGTATACCTGGGTGCACAAGCCGCGGTATACCTGGGTGCCCAAGCCGCGGTATACCTGGGTGCCCAAGCCGCGGTATACCTGGGTGCCCAAGCCGCAGTATACCTGGGTGCACAAGCCGCGGTATACCTGGGTGCCCAAGCCGCGGTATACCTGGGTGCCCAAGCCGCGGTATACCTGGGTGCCCAAGCCGCGGTATACCTGGGTGCCCAAGCCGCGGTATACCTGGGTGCCCAAGCCGCGGTATACCTGGGTGCACACGCCGCGGTATACCTTTGGTGCCCAAGCCGCGGTATACCTTTGGTGCCCAAGCCGCGGTGTAGCTGGGGTGCCCAAGCCGCGGTGTAGCTGGGGTGCCCAAGCCGCGGTGTAGCTGGGGTGCCCAAGCCGCGGTGTAGCTGGGGTGCCCAAGCCGCGGTGTAGCTGGGGTGCGCAAGCCGTGGTGTAGCTGGGGTGCGCAAGCCGCGGTATACCTGGGTGCCCAAGCCGCGGTATACCTGGGTGCCCAAGCCGCGGTATACCTGGGTGCCCAAGCCGCGGTATACCTGGGTGCCCAAGCCGCGGTATACCTGGGTGCCCAAGCCGCGGTATACCTGGGTGCCCAAGCCGCGGTATACCTGGGTGCCCAAGCCGCGGTGTAGCTGGGGTGCCCAAGCCGCGGTGTAGCTGGGGTGCGCAAGCCGCGGTGTAGCTGGGGTGCCCAAGCCGCGGTGTAGCTGGGGTGCCCAAGCCGCGGTGTAGCTGGGGTGCGCAAGCCGCGGTGTAGCTGGGGTGCCCAAGCCGCGGTATACCTGGGTGCCCAAGCCGCGGTATACCTGGGTGCCCAAGCCGCGGTGTAGCCCCAAGCCGCGGTGTAGCTGGGGTGCCCAAGCCGCGGTGTAGCTGGGGTGCGCAAGCCGCGGTGTAGCTGGGGTGCCCAAGCCGCGGTGTAGCTGGGGTGCGCAAGCCGCGGTGTAGCTGGGGTGCGCAAGCCGCGGTGTAGCTGGGGTGCGCAAGCCGCGGTGTAGCTGGGGTGCGCAAGCCGCGGTGTAGCTGGGGTGCGCAAGCCGCGGTGTAGCTGGGGTGCGCAAGCCGCGGTGTAGCTGGGGTGCGCAAGCCGCAGTATACCTGGGTGCCCAAGCCGCGGTATACCTGGGTGCACAAGCCGCGGTATACCTGGGTGCCCAAGCCGCGGTGTAGCTGGGATGCCCAAGCCGCGGTGTAGCTGGGGTGCCCAAGCCGCGGTGTAGCTGGGGTGCCCAAGCCGCGGTGTAGCTGGGGTGCGCAAGCCGCGGTGTACCTGGGTGCACAAGCCGCGGTGTAGCTGGGGTGCGCAAGCCGCGGTGTAGCTGGGGTGCCCAAGCCGCGGTGTAGCTGGGGTGCCCAAGCCGCGGTGTAGCTGGGGTGCCCAAGCCGCGGTGTAGCTGGGGTGCCCAAGCCGCGGTGTAGCTGGGGTGCGCAAGCCGCGGTGTAGCTGGGGTGCGCAAGCCGCGGTGTAGCTGGGGTGCGCAAGCCGCGGTGTAGCTGGGGTGCCCAAGCCGCGGTGTAGCTGGGGTGCCCAAGCCGCGGTGTAGCTGGGGTGCCCAAGCCGCGGTGTAGCTGGGGTGCCCAAGCCGCGGTGTAGCTGGGGTGCCCAAGCCGCGGTGTAGCTAGGGTGCGCAAGCCGCGGTGTAGCTGGGGTGCCCAAGCCGCGGTGTAGCTGGGGTGTCCAAGCCGCGGTGTAGCTGGGGTGCGCAAGCCGCGGTGTAGCTGGGGTGCGCAAGCCGCGGTGTACCTCGGGCCGGACTTGCAGCTAATGCCATATTTATTTACAACCAAATACACATTTATATAGTTAGGAGGCCCATTCTATTTTGCTCGGATAGAGACAGTCTACCTGTGTCTACCTGTCTGTCCGTGACTCACCTGGAAGGTGGCAGGGTGACTGTGCAGGTGGGCAGTCCTGGGCAAGGTGGCGTACCCCGTAGCCAGGGTTGACGAGCTGATGGTGTTGACACCTTCAATGTGCCAGGAGTCTGCGTCTGTTGCGGGAGAGTGAGAGAGTGATTACAGTCCTTACACTCTAGCGGCACTCTAGCGGCACTCTAGAGGCACTCTAGAGGCACACTGGTGGCTCTTGCGTGCTGCTAGTTATTGTCATTGCATTCAGTCTAATGGGGTGCATAATAAAAAAAGATTGAATTGCATTCAGTTGATATAATTTGGGACAAAATCTAAGGTAATGCAAACCCAATCTTTGCATTAATTTGCAATGCTATTTTATGGTTAAGTGTCGTCACAGGTTTGTGTTGGAGTATTGTGACGTCATAAACTCGCGTATAACAATAATGACGTCAGTAACTCTCGCGGGTTTGTGATGACGTCAGAGAATGTCAGCACCAGTCACCTGATGAGGTGGAGATTGAAGACGCGGTTCACCTAAACGTCTTATGACGTCACAATCTCATACCGAGTGGCATTTCTTCAAGCTCAGTGAGTATCTGACTCACGAAACGACTCACCAGAGCGTGAGAGAGCGCTTCAGAGGCTAATGTGAGTACCCGATGACGTCTGATACTCGCCTAATGTAAAGTTACTCACATAAGTGGTGAGTAATGTTTCACATGGCTTCCTCGACTCAACCGAGTGGGAAAAATAACATCAATGACATGGCCATGAGTATCAAATGTCATCATCAGACTCAACTAAGTGGCTATACTGACGTCGGAGACTCACCTGAGTGGTAGAGAAAGTCAAGGACTCACCTGAGTGGTAGAGAAAGTCAAGGACTCACCTGAGTGGGGGATGACATCCGGGTTCATCTCATCCGGGTCGGTAGGGGAGGAGGAGGGTGGTGGGGGGAGGTCCTTGAGGGTGGTGGCAGGGGGCGGCATTAGGAGGGGGGACGCCCCCTGCGCCACCCCTACCTCTTCCATGCTCGACTTCATATCCCCTTCCCCCCCACGCCCACAACCCCCCACCCCTGGCCGCCCACCAACTCCACCCACCACCGCCCCTCTCTCCAGACGCAGGCGCACCACAGCGCACACGATCATGCCCACCACCAAGAGGCCGCCCACGCCGCCCACCACCAGGGCGATGATGGAGTTGAGGTTGAGAGGTAGCGATGATTTGCCGCGGGAGGGCGGGGGTTTTACAGCCGCTAGTTGGGGAGAAAAAAACGTTACGCACAGGCGACAAACAGGTGTGTGTGTGTTATATATATAAATAAATTCAAGAAAAAGGTATCGACAAAGTCAAAACTTTGTTGATAAAAAAATGTGTGTTGAATGTGTTTGTTTATTAAACCTGCAGGTGAATAAAAATACAGCACACACACGGTCTCCCATAACACAGTTTTCCGATTGGAACTCCTCTATAACCGACATCTCAAATGGTTTTGGTGATGAGGCAGGTGTGAGTATATATATATATATATATATATATATATATATATAATATGGTAGAGATAATATATAATATATATATATATATATATATTGGTGTATACTGGCAGCAGGTTTTCTTTCAAACATGTTTCATTGAATATGACCGCATATTCTGTATTTATTATTTTCTGGTTTAGGGCTTCTATCCCTCTATTTTCTTAGCATCAGGGCTTAATTGGAATAGGAGTTCTCCAAAACTCATTTTCGTACTTTTAAGGTGAAGAAAAGAAGTGATTTACTATAGAGTGTATTACACTTATTTGTATAATTTGCACGACGTTTCGAACCTCCATGGTTCATTCTCAAGTGAACAATCTTACAATACTAGTTGATTTTATACCCGCATTAGGTCAGGTGATAATACAATGAAGGTGAAAAACATGGGGGGATACATAAGGGATAAACATAGGGGCTGCAGAAGGCTTATTGGCCCATACGAGGCATCTCCTATCTAAACACAAAGATGAATCCAGTGTAATTGGCCTGTTATGTTGGACATTGTCTTCTGTGTTGGCATCGATATGTTCTTGTCTTGTCTTCTTTGAAGACAAGACAAGATTTCGGTGAGGTGATATGTAACAACAGTTTTGGATGAGGTGGAAACAAACTTTCAACACAAGGCAGAACACGAAACAATGGGTATAATATTTTGTAAGTTAAAGGGAAGAATGGAAGTAACTGCAAAGGGCCTATTGGCTCATATTTCTTGATGCTTCTATATTTGTGCCGAGTCTTGAAGTGGGTAGAATATAGTTGTGCATTAATTGGCTGTTGATTGCTGGTGTCGACTTCTTAATGTGTAGTGCCTCGCAGATATCAAGCCGCCTGCTATCGCTGTATCTTTCGATGATTTCCGTGTTTTTTGTTAAGACTTCTCTGGTGATGGTCTGGTTGTGGGAAGAGATTATATGTTCCTTAATGGAGCCCTGTTGTTTATGCATCGTTAATCGCCTGGAAAAGAGATGTTGTTATCTTGCCTATATACTGAATTCTTTGAGGCTTACAGTCCCCAAGTGGGCATTTGAAGGCATAGAAGACATTGGTCTCTTTTAAAGCGTTCTGCTTTGTGTCTGGAAAGTTTCTCATGAGTAGGTTGGCCGTTTTCTTGGTTTTATAGTAGATCAACTGTATCTTCTGATTTTTTTCTGTAGGAATAACGTTTCTATTAACAATATCTTTCAGGACCCTTTCCTCCGTTTTATGAGCTGTGGAAAAGAAGTTCCTATTAATAGTCTAATAGGGGGTACAGGTGTTGTGTTAGTTGTCTCTTCAGAGGTTGCATGGTGTTTCACCTTCCTACTTATGATGTCTTCAACGAAACCATTGGAGAAGCCGTTGTTGACTAGGACCTACCTTACCCTACAGAGTTCTTCATCGACTTGCTTCCATCCTGAGCTGTGGCTGAGAGCACGGTCGACATAAGCGTTAACGACACTCCTCTTGTACCTGTCTGGGCAGTCAATGTTGGCATTGAGGCACATTCCTATGTTTGTTTCCTTAGTGTAGACTGCAGTGTGGAAACCTCCGCTCCTTTCCATGACTGTTACATCTAGAAAGGGCAGCTTCCCATCCTTGTGCATCTCGTAAGTGAAACGCAACACAGAATTCCGCTCAAATGCCTCCTTCAGCTCCTGCAGATTTCTGACATCAGGTACCTGTGTAAAAATTTCAACATACCTGCAGTATATGGCCAGTTTCAAGTTCATGTCGACTAAGACTTTTTGTTCGATGGTACCCACGTAGACCTTCGCAAACAGGACACCTAGGGGAGAACCCATGGCGACCCCATCTACTTGCTTATACATGTGCCCAACCGGGCTCAAGAAGGGTGCCTCTTTAATACAAGCTGGGAGTAGTTTCCTTAAAATGTTTTCTGGTATGTCAAGAGGAGTACAAGCCGGATCACGATACACACTCTTCAAACAATCGGGATAATAGCGGACAGAGTGTATCGTGATCTGGCCTGTACTCCTCTTGACATGCCAGAAAACATCTATATTATATATATATATATATATATATATATATATATATATATATATATATATATATATATATATATATAATAATTATAATATAAATAAAAATGGAAAAGTTAGTTTGTTCAAAATCGTTAATCTCCGAAAGTTCTTCACCGATTGCTTTGAAATTTTCATAGAATGTTCCATTTGCATCCGAGCAGGTTTTTAGATACATATTATGTTGATGACACGTCTGTGACGGAAAAAAAAACATTTTTTTTTAAACTGTGTTTTTCATGTGAGAGAAATCATCAATACCTCTTTACCGATTGCTTTGAAATTTTGACACGACGTTGCATTCGAATAAGTGCGTGTTTCTATATACCTACTACATACATGCCTTACCTGTGACCGGAGAAAACATGCTTTTTTTTTAAAACAACACCATCTGTTGGACGTAAGAGCAACACACGCTGTAATCTCCAAAAGTTCTTCACCGATTGCTTTGAAATGTTGACACAACGTTCCATTCAAATACTCGCATGCTTTTATATACCTACTATATAGATAAAACACCTGTGACAGGTAAAAACAAGCATTTATTTAAAACAGCGCCATCTGTAGCTTGCAAGACCAACACATGCTATACTAAAAGCCATGATTCCATTTCAATGTTTCTGATTGCATTGATAAATTGAAATTTCATTGATTTCGATTTATTTTCATTTTGATTTCATTATTTTGTGACATTGCCTTAGAATTGAGCTGTGTTGTTGACCATACCATTCATTCATGAGTATAGTTTATTTTGTAATTATTTCATTGTTTTTCATTTATTTTTTACTGTTACTATTTTTCAGTGATGGGAACATCAGTTTATTTGTTGTTCCAAATTTTCTGAAGGGAATACAAGATCATATGGGAATGCATCGGTCTAGGGAGTAGGGAATGGTGGGGGGGACACCGAAGGGACAGAGTAGAAATATGGGGGAGGACGAAGGGATTGGGGAGTTGGGAATAATGGGGACGAGGAGGTGGAATAAATAATGGTGGGGAGGACAAGAAATCAGAGGAGTGGGGGAGGAAGAGGGGACCGGGGAGGGGGCAATGGTAGGAAGGACGAGGGTTGGGAGAGGAGTAGGAGAATGGTGGGGAGGACAAGGGTACAGTGGACTGGTGGGATGGTGGGGAAAATAAGGGGACGGGGAAGGGGGAATGGTGTGGAGGACGAGAGGGTGGGGAGAGGAGAATGGTTGGGAGTACGAGGGGACGGAGGAGTAGGGAATAGTTGGGTGGACTAGGGAATGGGGTAGGGCGGAGTGATGGGGAGGACTGGGGGACAGGGAAAGATTGCTGAGGCTCAGCAACGCACATAAGAACATAAGAACAAAGGTAACTGCAGAAGGCCTATTGGCCCATACGAGGCAGCTCCTATTTATAACCACCCAATCCCACTCATATACATGTCCAACCCATGCTTGAAACAATCGAGGGACCCCACCTCCACAATGTTACGCGGCAATTGGTTCCACAAATCAACAACCCTGTTACTGAACCAGTATTTACCCAAGTCTTTCCTAAATTTAAACTTATAAGAACATAACAACATGCGTTGCTGAGCCACAGCAACGCGTCACCGGGTACAGCTAGTCAATAAATAAATATGGAAATGTTCGTTTGTTCAAAATCGCTAATCGCTACTATATACATGCCTCACCTGTGACAGGAAAAAACATTTTTTTTTTAAACCATGCCATCTGTTGGACGTAAGAGTAACACATGCTGTAATCTCCGAAAATTTATTGATTGCTTTGAAATTTTTACTCAACGTTCCATACGAATGCGTGTGACCCCCAGCCTCTGGGGTCAACATCCATGCATGACCCTCTGCCCCTGTGGTCAACATCCATGCGTGACCCCCTGCCCCCTGTGGTCAACATCCATGCGTGACCCCCTGCCCCCTGTGGTCAACATCCATGCGTGACCCCCTGCCCCCTGTGGTCAACATCCATGCGTGACCCCCTACCCCTGTGGTCAACATCCATGCGTGACCCCCTGCCCTCTGTGGTCAACATCCATGAGTGATCCCTGCCCCTAGGGTCAATATCCACAGGTGGCCCCTGCCCCTCGGGTCAACATCCATGCCTGACCCCTGCCCCTGAGGTTGCCAGTCAGGTGTGCTTGCCCCCCCCCTCCAAACACACCTGTGGTCGACACAATAGTGTATGTGTGCAAGGTCCCGCCTCTCCCCCTTATGATAATGGACTCGCCTAAGGGTCTCCCTAATAGGGACTCACCAAAGGGTCTAATAGGGACTCACATAATGGTCTAATAAGGACTCGCCTAACGGTCTAATAGGGACTTACCTAAGGGTCTCTCGAATAGGGACTCGCCTAAGGGGTCACTCTAATAGGATCTCGCCTAAGGGTCTATTAGGGACTCACGTAAGGGTCTCTCGAATAGGGACTCATATAAGGGTGTCTCTAACAGGGACTCACCTAAGGGCCTCTCTAACAGGGACTCGCCTAAGGGTCTCTCTAACAGGGACTCACCTAAAGGTGTAATAGGGACTCACCTAAGGGTCTAATAGGGACTCAACTAAAGACCACTCTAATAGAGACACTTATAGGCCTCTCTAACAGGGACTCACCTAAGGGCCTCTCTAACAGGGACTCACCTGAGGGTCTAATAGGGACTCACCTAAGGGTCTAATAGGGACTCAACTAAAGACCACTCTAATAGGGACTCACTTA